TCAAGAAAACAGATGTAATGACGGAGAGCTTTGTCGAAAACTGAAATGTAGAAAAAAGGAGCAAGTAGAAATTCTAGACTGAAAAAAGTAATCATGGTACTTATGAATGGATAGATGGATTTAAAGTAGAATGGATAGCCAGAGAGGGGATTCGTCGTGGAAGATGTGAAGCATCCGGGATGAAGCTGGAGAGGAAAAAGGAGGGGAAATAATTGAATAAATGTGGTAGAATATGGTGAAGAAATTTCGCTTTTTTCCCAGTGGAGTCCCACATGGGAGGAAAGAGAAAGAATGGGGGAATGTTTGAAGAGATAATGGTAAAGAATCTTCCAAAACAAAGACTCAAGCTACAAATCCAAGGAGTAATTTAAACCTTAAGAGAATAAATATTAATGAAGCAACACCTAAGTGCATCATAATGGAACTGATAAAAGCCAGAGATAAAGACTAATTGTTGAAAACAGAGGAAAAATAGGCATTAACTTCAAAGTTGCAGCAATAAGATTTATAGTAGATTTCCCAACAGAAGTGATGAAAATGAGGAGGTAATGGAATGGCATCTTGAAGAATCTGAAAGATAATAACTGCAAACCTGGAATTCGAGCCCACCAAGAATACTGTTCAAAGGTGAAGATGGAGCAAAACATTGCTAGACAAAAACCGAGCAACTTCAACACCAGAAGACCCACTTTAAATTAACATTAAAGGGAAGTCTCCAGACAGGATGACTGAAAGACAGAAAGCAGGAGAAGCTGAAAAGAGAAATAAGAAGGAAAATAGAAGTGAAAGTTGACCTACGTGCACACTCACAATGTTATGACGCCGTATATTACATTCACAGTCCTAGGGCGTCTAAGCTACAGGGAGAAATAAAATGCACGATGACATTGACAGGTGAGAGGGATCAATGGAGCTGGAGTGCTCTGAGATCTCAGCATTGCTCTGGAAGTGCAGGGGTGCTGGCACGGGCTTGAGTAACCCAAGAAAGCATGCTGTAATCTCCAGGGCAACCTCTGAAAGAACAGTAGAAGCCTGGTGTGAGTAATGATGACTAGGAAAGGGGAAGTGAATAATAAAAGTGCTTGATTAATCCGAAGTAGTCAGGAAAAATGTGTAAAAGGAACATATAACAGTTGGGACAAATAGAAAACATATAATCAGATAGTAGATATAAAGCCAATTATCAATAATTAAATTAAAGGTGACATATTAAATATTTCAATTTACATATAGAGATTGTTAGTCTGGATTTTAAAAGAGGAGAAGAAAATCTGTGTGTTGCTTACAAAAGCTACATCCTAAATATAAGGGCCCAGAAAGGCTGGAAGTCAAAGGATGGAAAAGGCTACATGATGCAACACTAACCAGAAAAGCTGGCCTGGCTCATTAACACCAGATAATGGAGATTCTGCAGCAGGAAGTGTTATTTGAGATGAAGAAAGACGTTTCATGAAACTAAAAGGTCAACCCCCCTAGAGAGCTATAATCATTTTAAACATGTAGGTACCTAATAACATAGCTTAAAACACAGAAATCAAAAATCAACAGAACTGAATGTGGAAATAGGGAAAGGTAAAAAAATATCATATTTGGGGATACCTGTCTCAATAATTGATAGGAATGGAGACAAAAATAATCTCAAAATGGGAAAGGCTATTAGAAGTTTGGAGTAAAACACTGAAGCCATAAAAATAAGATTGGAAAATTTCATCACATGAAAACTTTAAAGTCACATGGGATAAAACACCATAAGCAGTCAAAGGACGAACGACAATGTGAGAAACAATTTGTCACACAGGTCACAGCGAAAGAGCCAGTCACAGCGAAAAGAGCCAGTCACACCCAACCACCTCCCACCAGTGGCGAACA